TCATCGAGGAGCCACCGCTCGAAGTAACCATGGAGGGGGTGAAAAGAGTGATGGAGGGAGTCTCCATTAAGGAGATAACTAATGGAGACCCACAGGAGGTAAAGGGCAAGCTTGAGAGCCTGATCATCAGGTGTCAGGGCGCCTTAACTCGAATCCCAAGAGAGGGGAAGGTAGGCAAGGAAAGCGACAAGAGAGACAAGCCTGTCATCACCAAAGTAGAGGTGGTGAAGGACAGGTTGAGGGCAAGGGCGAAGGAGACGGCGGCCCAAATCATCCGGGATTCGAAGTCGCCCGACGACCAGGCCCCTGAACCCCCGAGCTCCTCATGGGTAGAGGTAGTGAGGAGAAAAGGGAAGAAGTTGGCGGCCGTTAAGAAGGAATCGGCAAACAGGCCCACAAAGACCGGAGCTGTGGTGGCAGGCAGCAAAGGGGAGAAGAGACCGTCATACGCGGAGGCAGCAAAGGCGAGACCGCCCAACGATAGAGCATCCAAAGGCGATAGGGCGACCCAACCCACTCCAGTAGGGAGGGGCAAGGAGGAGATGCGACAACAGCGGGCTGATGTGAAAACAGCCAAGCCGAATGCAGCACGAGGAACCAAGGGGCAGGACGCGGCCCGTAAGAAGAGGAGGACACCGAGATCGGAGGCAATCACAGTCTCATTCCCTGTGGGCGAATACGCACAGGGGATGAGGGACATCCGATCAAAAGTAGACCTGGAGACCCTGGGCATAGGGCCCTTAAAACAGAGGAGGGCGCTCACGGGGGCCTTGGTGTTTGAGATATCGGGGCCGGAAAGCGTGCAGAAGGCCGACGCCCTCGCGAGGGAGATTCGCGGGGCGGTGGAAGGCAAAGAGGGGGTAAAGGTTTCTCGCCCAACAAAAACAGCAGAAATCAGAATTAAAGACCTGGACGAGTCCCTCACACCCGAGGAGATAAGCCAGGCTGTAGCGCGAGTGGGAGGATGCCAATTGGGAGACATTAAGTTGGGGCAACCCAGGAGGGCCCCCAACGGCCTGGCAACAGTCTGGGTACGGTGCCCAATT